GGGAGACGCAGCTACTAAAGCCGACGAAGGAAATCGATAGCGGGTAATTTGAAGAGACCGCCCTCAAAGACGTATTTAAATTAAACTGGAAAATGCAAACTAGTAGAATGGTCAAACTGGCTATTTGCTAAAATACACACACTCTCTCTTCCACTGAAGAAAACTGCTGTTTTGAAGCGACAGCTCACAACAAATCTTTTTTTTTCTTTTTCTCCGTTCTTATTCAGTCAATAACAGCAATCGCTGCTGTAGCTGTTGTTGATTGCTTGAGTGTGTGTATTATTACTTCTACTTCAGACTAAAAGGAACCTCACTCGAGCATGACGATAAGAAGAAGAAGAAGCAGCAGCAGCAAATGATAAAAATACGCACCTACACCAAGTTTGCTTTAGAGTGACCGGCCGGCAATGGAAGTGCACACTGGGCCTATTACAACTCCTCCTTTTCCTCTTTTTTTCCTTCACCAATGACACCATACAGCAAACAAAGTTAAGAGAAAGTGAAAAAAATTGCAACGTTGGACTCAGGTCTTGTTGACTCTAAAAGCAATGCAAATGGACAGTTAATTGTTGATTATGGCAGTAATGATCTCTACTTGGAACAATCAAGCGATCATCTAGTGCTGATCAACAGACCGATAAAGCATCTCATTGTACTGATGTTGTTGTTGGTGCAGGAAATGGGCACATTAGCAGAGCAATTTATGAGCATTTTTACAACAAAAAAAATTTATCCTGAAATAAAATGGTGCAACTACTGCTCATGTAAAAATAAAGGCTTGCGTCAACTGATATATGCGCTGATGAGAACAAACGACAAAAAATATCATCGAATGATGTACAATAAAATGCTCAAAATCAAAATATGCCTCGATTTTTTCCGTTAGAAACCTCTCAGTTGCTAAAAAAGTTGACTTGCCCATTCACTTTCAGAAAAATGTAAAGTCTAACTTACGTTCATCTGTTTCTGCAGTTTTACACTGTTTCACATGGAAAATTTAGCTCTGTACAAAGGAAGAAAAAATAGACGTTTCACTACTGAACTTTTCATGATCGAAGAAAGGATTGTGTGAAATGTTGTAAAAAGTTTTATTAAAAATTGAACAAAAAGCTCTCACACTGGCTATTACAGGTGAGCAATGGCAAAAAAAGTGCAACGAGCAGGTGATAGGCAATGGTGTCGAGCTGGTGAGGAAGCAATAGTAATGGTGGTTGCTGTTCAATTGTTAAGGTGCTCAATAACCGAACAACCTTTTGCTTTGAAGCTAATGAGATTGACAAAAATAGACTGCACATCGATGAACTGGGCCGGAAAGCGGATTTTGACTATGATGATATCAGTTACAACTGATCAACAAAAAATGTAAAATCGGTCACTCTGCAGGTGATGATCAGCTTGAGAGGCTATTACTACACAAAATTGGAATTCTAATAGTTTAAATTAATAAAATTAGAGCACAAAACAACGCAGTGAAATTTCATGCAGATATCAGTGAGTGCACTCCTATTAAGATTGCTTGCGTAAAACTTGTTACAAAGGTTTAATTATACAAATAATCTTAAATTATCAAGCAAACTTAAAAATATTTAAATAAAAACGCCCGTTTTGTGCAACTTTTTTTTGTTAAATTAATGTTTTGAAGAAGTGAAATAGACAACAAACATTGCTAAAGCCAGTTTGTAATTTGATGGAAATAAAAATAAAAAAAGGTAATAATAGCGATGCGTTAGATAACAACCTAACTAAAAAACGGTGATGCTTGACTGGTTATGACTTCACTTCACACTAATGATCACTGCAGCCAAAACCTTGATAGGAAAAAAGAGTTTAATTCAGTTAGTGATTGCAAAAACTACAAAACAGATTAACAACTTCCCTTTTGGTGTAAGCACAAAGCTATGTTTTTTTGTTCAACAAAAAAATGTTTTTTTATAAACATAAAAAGTTCAACAATGTTGTACTATTAATAGAGGGTTAGCGGTATATGAAATGCTGAAGTGATTTGATAATTGCCAGTTGGCCATTAATGGCAGACAACAGGAGCTACCAGACAGTCGGTGTCTGGAGACTGTAATGCGAACAAAGCGTAATTGATTTGCCGTCAATTGAAGTAGGGCAATGTGAGGACAACAACAGAGAAGATGATCACCTGCTATACATTGCCACTGATGAGAACATGTAAGTGTTGAATATGAATGGCTGATAATGCTCCGAACTGTTTTGTCAATCTTAGAAGCCAAGTTCATGGTTTATTCACAAGTGTTTTGCCAAGCAAATCCCCTCAAATTGATTAAAGATGACTGTAAACTAAGAAAGAAGGTCAAGTACAGCAGTAGACGGATGATGAGTAGAGCTCTCGGTAAACATCTGTGCTTGGTGAATGGTCATGGGTAGTTTGGTTTTGTGTAACATTAAAATCACTATTAGGCTTTAGAGTTTGACGGAAAAATAACACAAAAGCCATTTTGAAAACAAATGCCCAAGTCCAGTTAGCTTCACTTGATTGGATGATATAAATAGAGTGCGACAACAAAACACTGCAAAGCAAGCAATCATCCAATCAAGTCATTGCCTGAAAGTCTTATGTTGCCCTCCAGAAGAACCTTTAGCAAGTAACTCATTAGCGTTTAAAACAACTTTTCACTTCCGTTTACAACTATTGAGTAAATAAAAAACCGGTGGTTTGAATACTCTGCTAAAACAAAAGCAAAAGTAAAATTCCAAAAGCAGCAACTGGAATGTCAGAGCAAATGTTTTTCTAATATCAAGAGCAAATAAACACCATCAGTTTATTTAGAAAAACATCAAAGTCATAATCTTAATGTCTGCTAGTTAAGGTCAACTGCTGGCGGATAAATCACTTCACTTTGCAGTGCCCACACTGAAATTCAACAGTATCCTCCAAGCCGCCACTGCTGCCAATCAATTAGCCTAATGTGAAGGTACTGGTGGCAATTACTGCTAACCGCAACGCGTAATGTAAAATGAACACAAACTTGAGTGAACATAATTTGCATGACATTGAAACCTATGGCCGAGTAGACACAGACAGACAGACTGACAGACAAAGCCGCAGCCATCACAGCTAGACTGAAGAGCGCCATTGACAGCCCGTATTAAGAGTAAACCACGCAGCAGATTGACGTCGACGAATGTACAAGGTAGTGCGAAGCATGAAGCATTGGAGAATAGACAAACTGTGAATGTCACCCTGAGTGCTGAATTGCTGTCTGTTGATAGTGGCACACATTGTAATTATCATCAGTGTGGTGAACTGTGCACCGTCGATCACCCTGTAAACTGTACGGCTGACACTGATCTGTGCTTCTCATTGCAAGCACGAGCTGCCATTTTATTTACTTTACCTTTGCATTTTCTTGTTTTTTCTACTTTTGACTACCTGTGCCGAATATTCTACGCATACTTGGGCACTATTGAATTTGAACAGGTGCACTGCACTTAAAAGACAGCACTGGCGTGCATTCAAACAAAATAGGTCATGATTAGCCAATTTGGGTATTNGCATACTTGGGCACTATTGAATTTGAACAGGTGCACTGCACTTAAAAGACTACACTGGCGTGCATTCAAACAAAATAGGTCATGATTAGCCAATTTGGGTATAACTGCATGTGTGTGACTAAGTGCAATAACGCGAGCTCAAAACAGTTAATTGCCACAAATTCATACGGAATGCTTCAAAAGATGCCTAAGAGCTATTTTAATTACTGTTGGCACTGCTGCTGCAACAAGTGGGGAATGCCGACAAATTAGGTGCATTTGAGAGTTTTGAAAATTAAAACACGCGATTTGTTGCAAAGGTGTAATTAAATCAGCCACCTTTAGTTGCTGTTTCAGCTATTTAAATTAACTTGTGAATAAAATTTGAGAAAAGCCAAAATGGTCGATAAATGATTATATATTTTGCACTTGTGATNTCTGTCAAGCCACTGACTTAAATCTCAAAAAGTATGGATCAAAAAGTGGCCCACTAGGGTAGTCAGGACCCTCCCTCTTGGAGGACCACAACTGACTTTAAACGAGGCTTTTTTTAGTGTACATGATTCAAATGCATCCGCCGGGAACAGCATTTGACGATATTCGTAACATTGATTTTATACAAAGGTGCGTGTTGGATTATATAAGTTTCTAATAGAAAAGTAGGGAATATTGTGTATAAAATGTATGTAGAAACAAGATGTGTATATAAAATCCAATATGAGTGAGTTTGAATAAGTGGTTATATGGGGTGATGCCAGATTATAGCTGACTCACGTCAACGCTCACTGAAAGAATATGTGTAGATAATGTGTGAGAGGCAAAGCAGGCATGATTTGTTTGTGTATATGAAATTGATTGCCTTTGATGAGGCAATTAATGCACTTGGTTTGTTTGCTGTACTTGCAGTCCAGTAGTTTACTCGTACTTTCCTTCCAGAAAGTCAGTCCGCAGTTTGGTGAACTCCTCGTCGAAGAAGGCTCTCTTGATGCCCCTCGGCAGACTGCGACATGACTGCAGATCAATGGAGGAAATCTGCGGACAGCAGCGCAGTAGTTCACGAAGCATTTCGTGAGAAACTGCCGAGCCGCGCAGTTGAATCGTCTTGAGCTTTGACTCCTCCCGACCCACCTCGCTCAGTGCGGTGATGCAGGCCTCGACGCACTTGTCTGACTTGTTCCACGACAGATCAACGTCCACCAGTGTTTTGCTCCACTGAAATGTAAGNCTTGCCTTTGATGAGGCAATTAATGCACTTGGTTTGTTTGCTGTACTTGCAGTCCAGTAGTTTACTCGTACTTTCCTTCCAGAAAGTCAGTCCGCAGTTTGGTGAACTCCTCGTCGAAGAAGGCTCTCTTGATGCCCCTCGGCAGACTGCGACATGACTGCAGATCAATGGAGGAAATCTGCGGACAGCAGCGCAGTAGTTCACGAAGCATTTCGTGAGAAACTGCCGAGCCGCGCAGTTGAATCGTCTTGAGCTTTGACTCCTCCCGACCCACCTCGCTCAGTGCGGAGATGCAGGCCTCGACGCACTTGTCTGACTTGTTCCACGACAGATCAACGTCCACCAGTGTTTTGCTCCACTGAAATGTAAGGTAAGGTAAGGCCTAAGATAAACAGGCAAAACACTAATAATATCAGTTACCTTTGTGAAGACATTTCCCAGCGTCTCATGTTGCTCTTCCAGCTTGGTGCAGTTCGAGATGGAAAGGTGCTTCAGCGTCCAGGTGGGAACTTTGAGAAGGCCACGCGGTGAGATGTAGCGAGAGCCACGAATGTCCAGCAAGGTGAGCTTCGCGGCGTCCTTTGTCAGCAGCTCCAGCGTCCAGTCGGTGTTGCCGTCCTGCATCAGCGAAGGCACAATGAAGTTCTCGTGGAAGGGAATGCTGAGCTCCTCCAGCTTGGGAAAGCCCGGCACTGGCGGGCAGGCGGCACTGCACACCGTCGGCGTAAAATTGACATTGGCCGCTCGAAGGATGCGCAAGTTAGGACAGCTTCGCTGCAGCTTGTCAATCGAAATGGAAGTCGAGCGGGCGCCCAGCGAGGCGACATTACTGACATCGAGCACTTCGAGGTTGTGACAAAACTCCTGCAATAAAAGGGTTTCAATGTTAGATTTGATCAGTAAATAGTTCTTCCTATAAAAGATTGTACCATAATGATTGACATTGTTGTGGGGAAAGAAGGCAACATATTCTCTGAGAGCTTGAGCGACTCCAACTTGCCGCCGCAGGCTTCCAACAGAGGTCGGAAGACGGGTGTGGTGAAAGGATTCTAGAAAAAGGTTTACAATTGATGAAAAGGCTTTAAACAAGACAAAAAACTTGTGAACTTACCTGACAGTTCTGGTGTGATGAAGTCTTTGAAGGCGGAAGAGGTTTATTCAGTGTCAATTGTCGTGTCCCGTGTTGTGACCATGATTGCATGGAATCAAAAAATGNCAACAGAGGTCGGAAGACGGGTGTGGTGAAAGGATTCTAGAAAAAGGTTTACAATTGATGAAAAGGCTTTAAACAAGACAAAAAACTTGTGAACTTACCTGACAGTTCTGGTGTGATGAAGTCTTTGAAGGCGGAAGAGGTTTATTCAGTGTCAATTGTCGTGTCCCGTGTTGTGACCATGATTGCATGGAATCAAAAAATGCAATGTTATGGCCTAAGAAATACTAAATTACGCAGAAGGGAAAGGGGAATGCCGCAGTTATGTGTTAAACCCACCAAACAAGAAGAGAAAAGGAGTAGGAGAAAAGAGAGGAAAAACAGTCCCCGGGACGCATGCGAAAAGCGAAAGAAAAGTGTATGTTCAATTTCACATACCGTAATAGCTGAAATGTCCAGATCCTTTATGTTAGGACAACGCCGAATGACGGTGTCCAGGAATTTGCAGGATATATTGCGACAGTTTCGCACACACAGCATTTCCAGGTCAAAGTTTGAGCTGTTGGCGACAATCTCGATGATCTTCTCGGCATTGGCGCCACTCCACCCGCTTAGGTTCAGCTCGTTGACGCAGGTGAACAGTTGATTGGTGTCATTGAGGCGTTGAAAGCTCTGCAGCGGGAACTTGACGTCAGAGAAGCCAGTCAAGTCGAGACGGCGCCAGAGAACGGGCGTTGATATGATCAAATTGCGCCAGTTGTCGCACACCTGTGACAGTCTAGGTTTGTGGTGAGAAGGTGCCATGATGAGAAAACATTGGTAATAAAAGCACTGAATAGTATGTTTGCTGAGTACTCACTTGATTAACGTCTGAGCGTGCAACTGTTCCACTTCGAGAACAAAGCTAAATATTTTAACGAGAATCTCAGGGGGAATAATTTGCTCAAAGTCAAACTTGAGTTGTCGGAGCAAACAGTTGAAATCGGTTGCTGAATACGATGTCCGGTGGCCGTTTTGATTATTGCCATTTGAAGTTGAAGGCTTCTGTGGATTAGTGGTTTTGGAAGCTCGTTTGGCTTGGCCAGAGCTTTGTGGAGACTTTGATGTGGCTTTCTGGGAAAACAGTCAGGCATAAAGCAAACAGTTAGTATGAACATATAAACTAACTCATTGAAAGTTCAGCGTTTACCTTTGCCCTTGGAGTTTTAACCGCGGCTTTAGCGCGTGCTTTCTTAGGCTTAGCTTTCGCTTTCGCCTTGCCATTTGGAGACTTGCGTGCTCGTTTGCCCTTCCGTTTGCCTTTAGTGCTGTCCTGGCTGCTCTCTGAAGGATCACTCGAAAAGTCGGATGCCGGTGAAGGGACGGACGGGTAGTCCTCCTCGAGAGAAGGCGTTGAAAGGCTGTGGTCAGCTGTGCTCGAGTCGCCATTGACTTCGGTGCTGCTAGTGCTGCTAGTGGAGGCGATTGCCGATGCCGATTCACACTGCTGCTGCTGCTGTTTGCCTTTTGCCGGCTGAGATGTCTTGGGCCGAGGCTTAGTCGAGGGGACGGATTTGCGCGCCTCAGGCCTGTAATCCTCATCATCCGAATCGTCGTCCTTGCCCTCAGGCCACAGCTCTTTCGAGGTGAAGCTGAAAAGCATCGGTGTGTCGCCCACAGGAGCGCCCAGAATGCCCCTCTTCACCCGCTTCCTGACAGGCTCTTCGGCAGCCTCTTCGATGGGCAAATCGTCCAGAGCAGGAGAAGAAAGCTGTACTCCCTCTTCCTCCATATTGCCAATTTGTACCGGGTAAGTTGAACTTTAGGGGTCCTTAGGGCAGAAAAGAATGAGAATCAATGTCCAAGATCAAATCACCAGCAAGAAGTGTACCTGAAGAAGTCAGAGAGTTGTTTTGCTTCGCACAGAGACTTGTTTTGCGAATGTTGTTGTGATGAGCGCGCGCGAGTCCTGCAACTGCGACGACGTGCAGGACAGGTGAACCACTGTCTGGCCTGGCTTGTCGCACTATAGCACTTGACACATATTTTTTTCACCACTTCAGCTGACGAGCCAAAACCAAAACAAGCAAAGGTGACTGGTGAGGGGTGCCGGAGGGCAGGAGGGGCAAACAATCGATCGAAGCTGATTCGCCGGGACTGAATACGGAGAAGCGACTGGAGGAGCTGGGATTCCAAGATCAAGTGGCTCGATTCGGTTTTCAAGTCGCATTGAAGCGTCGCGTCGCGTTCCCAAGTGTACAGAGCAGGGAAACTGAAAGGGAGAAAGGCAGAGTAGAGGCAGAGTAGAGGTGCAGGGTGAGGGAGTCGATGCTGGGCGCCAGTAAAATGGGCGCCAGTTTTTCTACACCGATACTGCTCGCTCGATAGCTAACAGTGTGAGGAGGATGAACTGTAGTACTGCTGCCGCTTCTGCAACCTTCTGCAGACAGACAGACAGGTCCAAATTGGAGGAGTGAACCGCAGAATAACTCCCCGAAATGTACTCAAAGATGGGTGTGGAGAAACGGTAATGAGTGAGAGAGTACCGCGCTCCTTCTCCTTCTCTCTGAGGAGTAGCAGCGTCGGTGGGGTTGTCGACCAGGAGGATCAACAAAACAGTCCGTGGCAAGTGAATCCCACTGGCAGTGAGGAGCGCGCCACTTTTGCCGGCAAGTGGCCAGTGCAACGGTGCTCCTCACTGCACTACTCTTCACTCGGCTGGGGAAGAGGAGGCAGACAGGCACAGAGCAGATCTCGCTGCCTGTCTATCTGCCTCTTTGGATCCGGTTAAATCAGTGTCGAGCAAAGACCACCACCACCGCCATAAGCACCACTGCTCACCACCGCTAGCGGGCGCGTCATGGGCGCCAAAGCGCTGAAGATACACAATGGGTAGCCACTTTTCCCTCACACAGTAGAACACATCCCTAGTCCAGAAGTCAGACAAGTTGTGAATGTGAAACGATCAACGATTTTATGTATACTTTTTGTTTGCATCGTCGTACACTGGGTAATAGTTAAAAAACAGCGTTAAAAAAGCCCAAACAGATGCTGTGTCGCAAGACGGGAAACAGCGCAAGTGAGTGAGTGAGAGGGAGCGTAGAAGGAAGGACTTACTTTAGAGCAAAATGCACGAAAATTGTAAAATGTGCATTCAGCCACGAAGTTGGTGCCCTCTGCTCTAGCACACCCACCTCCTCACAGCTCAAAGTCAACCAAAGGGGAGCTGTTTCACTAGAGCTGCTGCTGTTCGACCAACTTTGCCAGCTGCTCAATTTGCTGTACAATCTCGGTGTAGCGCTCCAGCTTGTCCAGCTGGTCCTTCTCCAGCGTGGACGTATCCTTGGACTTGAGCGCCTCAATCTCCTTGAGCTTCTTTCGAAGGTTTCGTAACCGCTTCACTGGATCAGTGGTGGTGGAAGGCAGACCAGCATCGCTGCTGTTGTTGTTGGCGGTGGAGGTCGTCGCTGCTGAAGCAGACCCTTTGCCGGATGCAGATGATGGTGCACTCTTGGTGCTATTACTGGAGACAGCACCTCCACCACCAACGGCCTTTGCGGTGCTCTTTATGTTCTCCTTGGCAGCAGCAGCACTGGCAGCAGGCCCATCTTCACTGGTGTGATCACTGCTAAAGGAGTTCTTCTTTTGACTCTTGTTGCTCTTTGACTTGACGGTTTTCCACTCGCTAGAGTCGGGCAACGCACGTATGGTTGGCTGCAGCGACACGCCCTGCGGCAGGCTGTAGATCACATTGGGGTCGTCGATTAGGTCGCTAAGATCACCCAAATCGACGTTGTTGTTTGTACTAGAAAGGGAAGACTTGGCCTTGCTCTTTGCTTTGCTCTTCGCCGTCGGCATTATCGTCTCCGGCTCCAAGGTGGCGGTCTTCATTTTGACAGCGACAGTTTGAGCTTTCTGTAGGCAAAACAGAGTTTCAGTGTCACAGAGTGCTCTTGAATAGGCTTTTTGGCAAAGAAAGGCTTACCTGAGTTGTGGGGACGTCCATGTCGACGAAGCCGAGTCCGGGAATGCCCGCATTAGTTCGCTCCTGCTTTATCAGCTTGCCCTTGGACATGTAAATGGGCACTTCTTCCTGAGGTGTGTACCCGTCCTTCACCCGACGTGCCTTTCTCCAGGAGCCATCGGGACGCTGAGAGCTGGCAATGTACTTCACGCCCGAATCATCAGTCACGTAGGTCGTAGTCGACATTGCTTCTTTCGAAAAGTAGAGCTGGCGGTAGTGAGTTGAGCACGGAAAAGGATATAAATGTTGCAAATTGAAACCACACAAATGCTGTCAGTATGCACAGGAAGAAATGCAATGGGCAGTGCCAGTGACACTCAGCGGGGTGATACTTCTTCTTCTTGGTGACCCTGGTGACCTCTTCAGCTGCTCGGGATCAGTCAGAGGAGGCAGTGAGAGAGCGGGAACTCTTTGCTCCTCTCCAGACCTGTGTCCTCTCTCTCTCTCGTTCTCTCAGGCGCTGCTGATCAGTGCCACATGGCGCCTGGCGAGGTGTCCATTCGGAGCATATGTTTCGGTCCTGGAGTCTCTTCCACTCGGGCAATCTCACTGTCACTGGCCAGCACACCTGTCACTGCCGTTGTGTCTCCTCGTTGTTGTCGCTGTTTCTGCTGGTGATGCTGCTGCCGTCCCAAAGGTAGCTGGGTAACCGACGAAACCCGAAAGTGCTGGCTCCTGCCTCTTCTGTTGCTGTTGGTGGTGGTGGTGGTGGTGGTGGTGGTAGATAGTGCTGCTGCTGCTGCTGCAAAGCTGCAAGCATCAGCAGAATCTGTTACTGTTGTTGTGCAAACGGAGAGAAGAAAAAAATGCAAGCGAACACGCC